ACTGTCCTGGGCTTTGAGCATTTCTCATAATGCTGTGTTTGAGTTGCAGGAGGCTAGGCCTGGAATGTTCATTGCCTCCTGTCCTGGAGGGGGCCCTACTTGTCCCCCACGACTGTGGGGAGCAGGGCTGGCTCTCACCTGTGTCCAAGGGGCTGCGCCCAGGGGCAGCTGGGAGAGGGCGCCCTGGAAAGGTTTGCTAATCAGCCTCACCGGGCCCATTAACTTGCAATCCAGTGGAGGCACCTGATGCCATTTTCCAAAAGCTGCTCTAGAACCCGGTCGGCTTTTCACACATTTCTTGTGACTTTTTTCCTGTTCTCGTTTCGGTGAACAGCTCTGAATGGCCCCATAGTGTTCATTGAGCAGAAGGCATCGTGTCCCAAAAAGCCAGCAGACGGCGTCTCCCTGGCCGGCTCTGGCAGAGGAAACAGTGTGTGCCCGGCTGCTTCAGAACTCTCTGGAAATGGAGCGCCCGGTGCTCACTGCTGGTGCAGACTAGATAAGGAACAAGTGTGCCCCCTCCTTCCTTGAGCAGACAATGCCTGCATGCATGGGGCTCCTGTTCCCCCTGCCCTAAGTTGAAGTCCCACTCTTCGTGTCACATGCATGGTGAAGGCAGGGACCCAGCGCTTCCTGAAACTCCCCTGGTTTGGGCCACGGTCTTTATATGCAGGAGATTCACCTGACAGGTTCACCTGGAATGGCTACGTAATCCACCCCCTTTCTATCTGCTCTTCCCTCCCACTGGCCTGACTGTTGGTATTAATCATGTATTTTATTTTCTGTGTTCTGATGCTTTGAGATCTTGGGGCCTTGCTGACCCTACAGGGACTGTCCCTCCAGCTAGCTAATTCCTAGAGATAACAAACAACTCCCCTGGGAACATGTCTTTCAAATACAAACCAACCAATCCAGAGTCCTGCACCCCAACCCCCTCCTCCATGGGGCCCTCACCCTCTGGGCCGCTGTCCCACTGCCCTAATCCCCCAGGGCCACCTGGAGTCCACTGAAATGATTCAAACTAGCCTGTCCTAAACCTGCCCACCCTGCTTCGCTCGTTCCTCCCACGGAAGCCAGCCACGTTTTCCTCCTGTTCCCTCTGCCTCTGGACTGACCCTGGTGCTCACCGGTGTGGCCCTGAGTGACATGCAGCCTCCTGTTTCTGTATGTATGAGAATAAAGACGATTTCCTTATGCTGGTCCTTTCCATGTCTGTTTCTCCCCACAGCTGATGACAACAAATCCCGAGGACCTTCGAATCCAGACCTCTTCTTAGCGTCAGATTTTGTGAAGCCCAGCACCAAATCGCTATCTTAGGGCTGTTTCGGAGCTGCAAACATCCAGACCCACAAACATCCAGACCTGTGTTCCACTCTTCTTCCCACGAGGCTGATCCGGAGAGGTGACATCACTGGACGAACCTGTCTTTGGCTTTCCATTGGGCTAAACCAGGGGGGAGCCCCAGAAGGAGTTCAGAGAGACAGAGGGGGTCAAGGCCTGTGTCTGTTGTTGATTCCCCCAGCTTTCCCCTTGCATGGTGGCCTAGGGCCATGTGTGTCCCTTGACTGAAGTTACAGGTCACCTCAAAGTGGTCTTCTCCATGGGACTCTCTCTTCCCTGCCGCATTGGGGCTGGATGTGGGGGCAGCTGACTGTCCCTAGCCCTGAGACACTTCATTCCCCAGTGGGCCCCCAGCAGACTCCTCACGGCTTCGTCGACGGTCTTTCTGAAACCCTTGTTGAGTTATCTTGATTCAAGGGCACCATCTTTGCTGGGAGGGTCCTGACACAGAGCCCATGTTGCATGACTTTGGGGTTCCACAGACAGACAAGGAGGGGGTGTGCCTCTGAGAGCCTGCACTCCTCCCTGGTTCTTTCGTGTCAGCTTTCCCTCCCCCACACAGTCCCCTTCCTTCCTTTCAGAGAGGAGGGCCCAGGGATGCAATATTTCTGCCAAAAAGTCTTTCCCTGATGGAATTTGCTGCTGGCCCAGACTGCACACTGCCAGACAAAAGCCTGGCTTTCTCTGCCAGGAGATCAGGGCATGGGAGGTCACCGAGGCCTGCTGTGGGACCGGCCTACCCCGGCAGGGGGGACAACGCCTCACGTATGAATAACGCCTTCACAGATGGTTTCTAAATTCCTTCCCGCAAAGGAGGCTGTAGAGGTGCCAAGGGGGAAGGTGGGCACCTGCCTGCTGCTCTGAGGCAAGGAGAGATGGGGAGTGGAGGGAGGGAAATGTAGGTATGAAAGCCAGGTGCAGGGAGAGGGGAGGAGGCAGGACAAGCTGGATGCATGTGCAAGAGGTGCTGTGGACCCCAGAACCACCCAGAGAAAGTGGAACCATCGATTCAAGGGAAATAGCTGGGCTCAAAACCAGGGGTCGTGCTGAAGGGTCTCAGAGACTCCATGCTAGTGCTCCACATGCAGAGATGTGGCTGGTGTGGCTGCCGTGTGCAGTGTAGACAAGCCAGAACACGTGAGCCAGTCACAGGAAGGGAGTGTATCAGTCAGCTCTCAGTGGAGAGGTGCTGCATAACAAAGCACCCCAAACTCAGTGGCTTATAATAGCAATCATTTATACTCTCGGGCCCGAAGGTCAGCGGAGAGTTGGAGGACTTAGACTGGGCTTGGCCGGAGGGGCTCTGAGCCACATATCTCTCATCACCCCCTGAGACAGTGGATGAACCAGGCGTGTTCTGTTTGTGATGATGGCTGAAGGTAAAAGAGAAGATGCAGACATGCATGTCTTGAAGCCCAGGCTGGGAACTGCACACCTCACGCCTTCCTGATGCTATTGTGCCAAGCAGGTCCTATAGATGAGCCCGCGGTCAGCAGTGGGAAATACCCTCCTCCCCTTTCATGGGAAGAACGGCCAAGTCACGAGGCAAGGGGACTGGATATGCAGGGAGGGGAGGGGCTGGGCCAGTGGCGGCCACATGGGAGAGAGAGGTGGCCGCAGAGTAGGGGTCTTGGCATCTCTGGAAATTATGAGGCGGGGAAAACTTCACATCCAAACTTTTGGACTTTTCTGGAATAGGTTTTTAAAGTTTAGTGAGCTCACATAGGACTCTGAGAGTCTCCACCTAAAGTAGCTTGTCCCCCAGTGGGCATTTTCCCAGAAAGCACAGTCTCTTTCTCAGCATTCTCTCTGGAACATCCGTCTGACCCTGCAGGTGTTTTCTGAACACCAGAATGACAGGTCATCCACAGGTCCAGAAACCAGGAGGTCACAGTGAAACTCCTCGCCCCATGCTGGAGACAACACAGTTGTGCCAGAATCCCGATGTATCCCCCAAATGCAACCCAAGTAGTCTCCGATGTCCCCCATGGCTCTGTCCAGTAGTGTCACGTAGATGGAAACAATCCATCGGATAACTGATTAAAAAGAATTCCAATATTGGATCTTTTTTCTCTCGAACATTAAAGGAGACACCAATAACACCTTCCTTAAAAAAAGAAAAACTTAAAAAATCAATAGACAAGTTTCCTAATGTGAAACTTCTAGCAAATCAAATTCCTCCTCTTGGTACATTTATCAGGCGTGGACTGGGAGCCCTGAGTGTGTTCACAGCTCACGATTAGCCGCGCACACCCCGTGGTAAGTTCTGCTGAGGGATTTTCTCTGGCTGTTTCAGGGAGCAGGTGCTGTATTCAGGGGATGACCCCCTGTTTTCTGAGCAGCATTTGGAAGATTTTCATGTGGCTTCCAGCCCCATGGTGGAAAATCAAGTGGGAGAAGTGAGTCAATAAATCAAGAGTGGTGCACAACAGCTCTTGGCCCACTCCACTTAAACAGGTGTGTGCTCACCCCCTCCCGACACAAAGCTCCTTAAACACCACTTACACGGGGCAAAACACTTAGGATCCTCATCACGAGAAAGGATGCTTGGATGGGGCAGACGGCAAGTTTCTCAGAGCAAACCTCCTTGGGCCATTAGGTGCTTCATCCATGGGACCCAGAGGTTCTCTACATCTCCCGCGTTTCTCCTGGGGGCTTGTCTCTGGACCATTCATCTTGCAGACAGACCACAGCAAGGGATGCTCGGGGGCTGAGCCTGCGCTCCAAGCCCTGTGAACGGGCGGGTTTGATGGAGGCAAGAGGAGAGCAGACTTCGGTATTTCCTCTTGTGACACTCTCCCTGGCCAGGAGCCTCCTTACCTGAGCACAGTGGAAATGTGTCCTGTGGCCCTATCACACACCTGGGGGGACCCCGAGAGAGTCCACGCCGGACCATGGTCTCCGTGGATGCCGTGGCCAAAATGCAGGGACAAACCAAAGAAGGACCTTTAAAAGCATAATGTTGGCTAGAGGTGATTTTTAGCTCACAGGACCTTGGGGTTTACTCTCCAGTTAAGGGGACTGCACAGCCCCAGGCAAAGACTCTTTAGGTGGTACCAGATCTGGGGAGTGTGTGGGGCCATCTTGTGACACCACTGCCCACATCCCAGGGCTCCCATCTCACCATCCCCAGCCCCGCCTGAGGACCAGCACTGGAGGACCTCTGGGAAGAGCACACAAAGGATCTCAGGTGTCAGCGCTGGCTGACGAGGCAGCAGGAGGGTTGGTGGGAGAGCAACTTGGTGGGATTTCCACCATTAGCCTGAATCGACTCTCCTATAAGAAGTACCTGGGATCCCTCACAGAGGTAAAGAGAAAAGCATTTGATGATACCTCTGCCATGGGTTGAATCACACCCTCCAAAAGAGGAAAGTTAAAGTGGTAATCCCCAGTACCTGTGAATGTGACCTTCTTTAGGAATAGGGTCTTTGCAAGTGTCATCAGGTCATGAGGAGGTCATGTTGGGTTAGCGTGGGTCCCAACCAAAGGCTGGTGGCCTCAGAAGACAGGGGACGTTTGGACACACGACAGTGGGAGAGAAGGCTGTGTGCAGACACAGGCAGAGATTGGAGGGATGTGTCTACAAGCCCAGGAGCCTGGGAACAGCAGCAACTCACAGGAGCTGGAAAAGAGACACAGGACAGATTGCCCCTCTCGTCCTCCAGAAGGAAACAATCCTGCTGACGCCCTGATTCTGGACTTCTGGCCCCCGGATCTAGAAGGGGCTCTATTCCTGTTGTTTTCAATTAGCAATAATCGCACCTTGGATAAACCTCATTGGCTACAATACTGCCACTGCACAAAGCTCTATTGCTGTTGTTTTAAGCCCCAGCTTATGCTTGTTTGTTATGGCAGCCCTGTGACACGGATACCCATGCATGGGGGGTCAGGGCGTATGTAGACACAGGCTCTTGGGAAGGTGATCTGCTGACACTTTTCCAAATGTCAGACACCCCTAGCCCCTGACCCAGCTTCTCCTCTGCTAGGAACTTGTCCTACAGATGTGTTCACACAGGCACTCAGAAAGCATTTCTACAGCATGCTCTTTCCAACACTGCAGAAGTGAACCAAAAATGGAAAACAGCCCAAAGCAATGAGTCTGCTTGACTGAGTTAGGGTACTTTTCCTCTATGAAAAAGAATGAGGAAGTTCTTTGTGGGCCTATATGGAACAGTATCCAATGCATCTTGCTCAGGAGAAAAAGTCAAGGCGCCAAAGGAAGAGAATGATTCACTAGCCCTTTTGAAGTTGAAGGGATTCTGTATACACATGTGTATAAGAAGTACACAAAGCAGAGATACAAGTACAGCTGTGTCTTCCTGAATGAGGTGCAAGCATCAGTGACATCTTCGCCTCCGTCAGGACAGGGAGGGAGCCTGCCCTCTCCCTACACCCCTTTGTACTGATGAACTCTTTACCTCCTGCACAGAGTACCTGATTTTTAAAAACCTAACTTTTTTTTTTATGTTCTTGTGCTTTGTATTTGGCAATATTATTCTTGGCTCATGAGCTGACTTTTAGTTTGCACAATTTGAAGAAGAATTTGGTCAACATTGAATGAAAATGGAAAAACCATTCCAAGCCTCTACCTTCAGGGAGTGGGCGGTGGTGGGTGCGGTGGGGGACATTCCGTGGTGACAACACCACATGAGTGATTCATCTCGTGCTGTCCCTGCTCAGTTTGACAACTACCCTCCTCGCTCAGCCTGCGCTTGACACGCAGCCATGTGGCGGTCACTGTGGATGCTGTGACACCATCCCCGCTCAGATGCAGTCACTGGCAGGGCAGTTAGGTGGCTTGTCCCCAATCCCAGGAGCAAGAGCTTCTGCCCAGGTCCCCTGACTATGACTTTGGGCTTTATCTACGGGTTGCCCAGGGGAACTGAAAATCAGACACGAAAGCAAGAACACATCGAATTCAAAAAAAATTTTTTTAATGTCATTTTAACCTTTACCCTGATACAGAATAGTCTCCCCTGGCAGCCGAGGATGGGAGGGGGTGGTTAGGTCGTGTTGCTGCCCTGTTCCGAACTCAACCAGATTTCCTCATCACTGTCACCAAGAGAAAAAGCTGAACCTCGCCATCCTCTGTGGGGTCCGCAAGGACTGTCCCCCACTGCTCATCCAAGCTCAGCTGCCTTCTGGAAACTGGTTCACTCCCCACACCCACCCCTCCAGCCAGCTGGCCTCCCCAAGTCTCCTCTACCTCTGCACCTGTGTCTCCCACCCCAGAGCGCCCTTGCCCTCCTCTGTCTCTGCAAGGCTGAGTGGCTTGTTCCATGAAAATGTCCCCTCTCCGCTGGCTCTCCCAAGCACCCTCATTAAATTTGCAAGCCCACTCTGCACTCCCCATTCCCCTCCCGTGCTTCATTTTTCCTCATAGCACTTTCCTTCTGCTATTTGATGTAATGGGCTTATTATCCTGTGTGTCTCTCTTCCCCCGTCATGGACTAAATTGTGTCCCCTCCCTTCCCATTTATATGTTGAAGCTCTAACTCCTAATGTGTCTGTATCTGGAGTTGGAGCCTTTGAGGAGATGATTAGGTTACATGAGATCATGGGGGGGGGTGCAATCCAACACGACTGGTGACCTTGAAAGAAGAGGAAGAGACACCAAGGATCCCTCTCTCTCCCCATGGGTGCACAGCAGGAGGGCAGCCACCTGCAAGCCAGGAGGAGCTCTCGCCAGAAACCAGCCCTGATGGCACCTCGATCTTGGACTTGCAGCCTCCAGGACCATGAGAAATAAATGTCTGTTGTTTAAGCCGCCGGTCTGTGGTATCTTGTGGCAGCCAGAGCAGATCGCCCTGATTGGAATGTCAGCTCCACGAAGACGGACGTTTGGTGCTCTTGTTCTTTTTTGCATAACTAACTCCTATAGTAAGGGAACTGAGTAAACGTTTGCTGAGTGCATAAGAGAATTTGGATGTGGCCCCCACAGGGCCAGTAGAGAAGGGTTATGGGGCTTCTCAGTATGTCTGGGCGCCATGGGGACAATGAGTCCATACCTGGTTGGTGACAGTCGCGGCTTTCCCCAATTCCTTCTGGAAGAGTGTGTGAGGGCCTGCCTCTGCTGTGATGATTGCATCTTTCTGTGCCCACCCTGCGCTAAGATCTTCCACCAGACGGACTGCTTACCTTTTCAGTGCTTCAGAGGAGAAACCAGCGAGGGCTGCCGGATACGGAACAGGTGCATCCCCATCCCCGCGTCGGATTCCAGTGGGCCCTCCGCAGGCTCCAGTCTGTTCAGCTCCGGCCCTGGAGACATCCGCCTGCCCCCTCTGAGCTGGGAATCCACCTCATCGTGTGAAGTCGAGACAGCAAAGACAGTGTGGGTCGCACTCTGCCTGACTCCGGATGGCACACCTCCGTTTATTTTCTGTTCCTGGTGCCAAAATGCGAGACACGCGCCATATGCCCACTGATTTCCAAAGACTGTGGGATTCTAGATGCATCGGCAGCATTCACACACTTGGGGAGGTGTGATGATTGCCGCCACGCAGAGCGCACCCGTGACTGCATGCCAGGAGGCTCCGAGCTCCTTCCTGGACACATCAAACATGCACATATGGTGTTGGAGGTGCCATAATTCCAGACACATAGCATATGTCCTTGGAGCAGACAAGGCACTAAATTAATTCTAAACACCGGTTGTAAGTTTCTTACCGAAATGCTCCCTTCACTGTATAAATAGCTTTTGTGTTCCACATTTCCTACGGCGGACTCTATGGAAGCCCAGACATGCGATTCTGGCTTGATTTTTATAGCGCTGAGCGATCTTCAAAATAGCCCCATCTCCATAAAGGGAAATTTGGGGAAAATGATGAAATGTGAAACAAAGGGACATGGAGTCCTCTCCTCTTTGTCTCCGTAGGGAGGACTCGGGGCCTCTGAAGGACGCAGGCCCTAATCCTCTAAGGAGGGACGTCGTCCTGGTTCTTACCTTCACTTCTCCGGGATGGGCTGTGTCCCCACTGACATCTGGAGTCTGGGCTTCTTGGCCCCAGTCCTACCTCTGCTTCTCTGCTGAGTTGACGGTTTGCTCCATGTTGGTAATGACCCCTAGGTAACATCGGGAACACCAGAACAAACTAGAATCCTGGCCAGAGGAGGCCAAAATGACATGGAAATTACTTTTTGGGTGAGTATGTTTGGGGAGCCAGGAACAACAGAGGAGCAGAGCCCCTGGGGCTCAGCCTGAGTCTTGAGCCTTGGACCTCCTTGGCCCTCCCCTCTCTTGCCCTGCATTCTCATCCCCTCCCTCCTCTCCCATCCTCTTTCCTCTTCTCCCTCTCCCCCAACCTCCTGTTCCAGCCTCTAGTTCTGCTCCCCTTCCTCATGACAAGACCAACCAGGACCACAGCCGGTCCGTGTGATTATTTTATGGATGTTAGAAAAGTGTGCTCTCCTGAGTATACACAACTCTGTGGCCTCTCCCCTTAGTAAGTGGACAATGCCCTTTGCAAAGGAAATGTCTCCCCTTCCTCCGAGCAGATGCAGCTTTGTGATGAGCATAGAGCTCAGTGAATGGAGGACAGGATGGATTTCAGCTCCCCCTTGGCTGGGTGCCTTTGTACAGTGCACAACCTGTACAACAGTCCCGGGCAGCCTGGAGAACATGCTCCTACCCCCTTGGTCTGGAATACATACTTCCTACTTGCTACTGGCTTTTGTGGCAGATTATATTCTCAAACAAACAAACAAACAAAGTCAGCAACAGTATCTCCCACTTCACACAATCTTCTTACAATGACAGTTCTTTCATCTATAGTGGGGTCTATCCCCTTGAATCTGAGTGGTTATGACTGTGGCAGAAGTGATGCTATGTGACTTCCAAGGCTAGGTTATAAAAGGTGATAAAGTTTCCACTTGGTTCTCTTGGGATGCTTCCAGGCCACCAGGAAGCCAACCAGACCACGCTGAGAGAACACAGGGAGAAGCCCTGGGTCTGCATTCCAGCTGACAGCCTAGCTGAGGTCCCAGCCAACAGCCCAGCACCCACTGCCAGACATGTGAGTGAAGGTGCCTCCAGGTGATTCCAATCCCAGCTGTGCCCAGACTTCGAGTCTCCCAAAGGCGGTGGAGGTGGGGCCAGGCATGGTGAATTCTTGGCTCAGAGTCTATGAACAGGAACTGGTTCTTTTCCACCACTAAGCTGGGGCGTTTTTATTGCACGGCAATAGTAATTGGGATAGCCTTCAAAACTCAGCTCTCTGCTCCCTCCTTCAAGAAGCCCTCCAGGATGCCTAGACTGGGTCAAATCCTCTATCTTCTGTGCCCCTGTCCCTTGCCCCAGGCTACTTGATCTCAGCCCTTACACTGTGCATCAGCTCACTTAATCCCCACCTCAACTCTGTGAGCCAGGTATTCCCATCCCCATGTCACAGGTCCGGATATCGAAGCTTACGAGGTCAGGGGACGCTGCTCGGGTTGACAGCTGACGTGGCTGTGAAAAATGTGGAAATGCGTAAAAGAAAATACATGAGTATTTCTCCAGGTACCAGGCTCCTGGGCCCTCCAACTTGTACGGGTGGAACCCTTCGCAAGGACCCCTGACAGGTGAATGAAGCCTGCGGCACCTCCTGTGTTCAGCATCCCTCCCACGAGGTAAGCTGTCGTCCCCCAGGGCTGTCGGGACCCCCAAAAACAAAACAGCAAGAAGGCAGGTTCCCAGCTAAGCAGCAACAAATCGGTCACATGGCTCGGACACATGGCTGCGGTGGCTGGAACGTTCAGCTCTCTTGGGGAACCTGGCTCTGAGTGGAGGTCAGAACTCTGCGGGCGACACCAGGTAGGACGCAATGGGG